GAGAAGTGCACGCACCCTTTCCTGTCAGCTGCCTGGCTGCTGGAGCCTCATTGCAGGTGGGCAGCAGCTCAGTGACGGCCTGCCTGAGGAACAGCTACAGCAGTGCAGCCCTTCAGTGTCTGTGCTCCCAGCTGCTGTGTCCCAGTAGTCAGAGAACAGGGAGGGAACCGCACAGTCCTGAATGTCTGACCTCACTTCCGTTTTTATTTTCTTATGTTTTGTGTAAATGTTAAGTACATGACTTTCAGTTTCTCGTGGATTGGAAGTTTTCCTCTTTAAACTGCTAGGAGCAAAAGGAATTGTTTGAACTTTTTCAGGAAAGTCTGATAAACACCAGTCCTCATCCTCTGTTCTGTCAGAAGAGTCAGGCAGAGACAGCAGGGCTCAAAGCTTCTGTTTCCAGCCAGGCCACGGATAACGGCCATTCTGACACAGTTTTACAATCTACAGGGAAACTGTTACCCAGCTGGCACTCAGGACAGGGTTGATGCCAAGACAATTCACTAGGTAATGAGGAAAGTACTTGCCAGAAGATGTGTGGGCAAATACAAATTAAACTTTTAAGTAAGGGGTGTTTCTCATACAGAGTTTTATGTCCAAATCAGAGGGATCCAAGCAGGTGAAAGTTCAGAAGATCAACAAAATTAATTGATCATTCAGACCGACTGATACTACAGCTTTAGAGGCAAGACAAGTCAACTGTCTGTTACTCTAGAGTTCTTTGTTTGAATGGAAAGCCATTGCATGATGAAACAAGGAGGAAAAAGTACAGCGTATTGTAAATCAGAGTTCTTTGGCAGATTTTTCAGAATTGATGTTTCATGTAAGTCAGATCTCCGGTATATTCAAAATTTCTTCTTAAGAATATTGTAGCACTAATTGAAGACATCAGAACAAGGGTGATGTTCTGAAACCTACAAAAATTACTCTTTTAGTATTTAGAGAAGTGAGAAAATAGTCACTCAGGCTTTTGACAAAGACCTGTATCTTCTCTCCCACTAGAGAATCTGTGAACAACCTTAATGAACAGTGCACTGAAGTCACTGTCCTTTCACATTCCTACTTAGAGGTTACAGAAAACCACTCCTGCCTTTAAACTAGAATGCTCTGCTAGGATTCACTGAAAATTTCCAGAAACTCAGAATGTATTGTTTCCAGGCTTTCTAAATTGAAATAGATGTTCTTTGCCTGAACAGTACGTTATGGTGTGTTCTTCTATGGAAATGAACAACTGCACAAAATGGCCACTCAAACCATTCCCAGTCTCTGGGAAGACAATTCAATGGAACAGTCCAATCTCCAGCATAAGGTTTAATCTTTTGCATTGAAAAAAAAAAAAAAAGAAAAGAAAAATAGCCAATAAGTTTCTGTGCAGTTTCAGAATAGTCCATTTTTCATGATTTCTCTCTATTAGCCAGAGCAAGCTGTTCTGTACATTGTGCTCTCCAATCTGGATCTTTGACTTTTAGTCAAAAATACTTTGTCATGTTTCTCTTGGTGGACATACATTGTGTGCTCTTGCTTTCAAGACTTGGTATAAGACAAGAAAGGCTGTAGCATTAGGAAACTTTTTAAGGATGGGAAATTACGTTTGAGTAAATTGAATGGTAAGATATGGAAATTCTAGCATTGGACATTATTAGGAATGATTTTGACTGTCTTGGTCCTACCATGGTTCATGCTGCTCACTTTTTAGGTGTGTAGATGCTTGAATGTTCAGGTCCTCCAAATGCCTTCCTCAGTGGCTTGATGATATCCCAGGCATCTTGATTTTTACTTTCATATACAAGCAGAAGCACATTTTTCTTAGAAGACCGCATCTCTACCTGCTGTCTAAGGTGTACCACAGTGTAGGGTTGGAGGAAACTAGCCCAAGGGGCCTCCAGACACAGCCACAACGAGGCTAAAATTAGCCAATTCCTAGGCTTGTTGTTGTAAGAACTTTCCTGGGAAGCTGAAGGGACTAAACACGTGAAGAGTCTGGAAGCATGACTTGACTTCTAAATGTAAGACTATCCCAAACATTAGTGCTTTCATTTACCCTGCTTAATGAGCAGCCAAGAAAGTAGGCACAACTCACAGGGCAAGAAAGAGATTGACTCTAGACAAATTAATTAGGCGCTCTGTGAGTGAGAATAGGCCTGGCTTTCTGGAGTGCTTCTGCCCAGCAATCCAGTTAACTTTGAGTTGTTCTTGTCTAAGGAAAAGATATATTTATTTAACACATCCCATGTGGAGATTCACATCTTTATCAAATTTTGCTTCACTGCCAGCAAACAATGAGGCAAAAAGGTGATTCTCATTACTGGTCTACACCAAGGAAATATGGGGTCAGCTGACACATGAGTAATGAAAAAGCAGAGTCCTTGTTGCCTATCTACCCAAAACGTTAGGTCGAAATCTTAGCAATGGTCCCATTTCTGTACAGTATACAGTTAGGAAACTGAAAGACAAAAAAAAGAAGTGTTATCTGAGGAAAACAAATTCAAAAATAAAAACAGAGTCTCTCCTGACACGTGGGTTAAAGCAATTTCTTTATGGTTTTCCTTCCTCAGGCACAGAAAGCAAAGATAATACAGAACAGAGTGAAAAAACAGATCAGAACCTTGGAAAACAAAGCTTACTTGCTAACAAGAAATTTTGCCTTTTAGACCTGTTTATACACAACCTTCTCACAAAGTGCATAAAAACAGTGCATTAGGGATCTATCTAAAATGATAGCAATGTCTTACCCCCAGGATACTAAGGTGTAAGGAACCATCATCTGCTTGTTCTGAGTGATAAACGTTCTTCCCTCAACGCTGAGTAAATTCATAAATGTCTCATTTGGGGCTTACATTGTGTTTCAAGAAAGCGCATCAGAGTAAGTACCAGTTGAAGCCAAGGACACCAGTATTTATCAATGGCTTGAGCATGAGATCCGTGTGTTTCTCATGACAAGTCAGCAACTGTAAACATTGTTAGAAGGAATTTCTCATAACTTGAGATAACATTTCTGAAGACTAATACTCCTATCAGTTTGCTGTTGGAAGGGGTTTATTTGCTCAGTATTGATTTCAGAGGTGTTTCTTTAAGAAAAGCCTCCATCCAGAGGGTCTTCTTCGTAATGCAAAAGCTTTCTTGAAATACTTCAAAATAGCACTGCGAACTCTATCACTGAGCCCAAACTTCACAAGGAAATAGCCCATGAGAGTAGCAGAAAGAATGTGCTTGTGTCCATGGTATTCAAATTCTCAGGGAAAACTCCTTGTACAAAATCATGTTGATTTGTGAGTGGGAAATCCTGTACATGTTTATAAGGAAAAAGGTGACATAAGGTGATTTTCCTCCAGAGTTTCTCAAGCACTGGAAGATCAGTGCTTGTGCAGGGATTCATAGAAGAATGTTGTGCAACAAGGGGATTCAATACCTCTAGGTTGTTCCTTCCTATGCAGCAAATCATGTCACTTTCTTCCCCACCCTGCTAAACACATACCTTTGGAGGCACTAGGAATAGGAAAATTCTGCTTTATCTGTGAATTTCCTTTGAGGAGCTGTGCATGTCCAGAAAGCCTGGCTACAAGGGTGGTATTACATGCAGTATTTATTTCTGACCATCATTTACTCGCTATAGTTTGAAAAGTAAAGGAGTTTCCTTTAGGAAATCCCTAAACTTCATATCAAGGTCTGCTGCAAACAGTTTGAATGAACAGAATAGTGCTATAAAGTCCTTCTATTATGTAGTTTGCATCTTTCGGCCTGGAAAAGAGCAGATTTAAACCAAGCCAAAAGCAAAGACTGAATCTGCCTGTAATTGCTGCAGAAATAGGGAATATGTCATTCTGATACAATGGATCTTAGAATAAAAAGGTGCAGGTATGACAGAGCTGACATTTTGCACAAAATATTTGGATATTGAAATCATTTGGAGCCATTCCCATCTGATGTATCGACAGATAACTCTCCATTTCACATTCTAGGAAAAACAAAACCAGACATTCTAGACTAATAATTCTATCAGTTACTAAAATATTTTGTACATACAGTTTAATTAGGATAATAAATTTTAATAATCTTTCTCAATACATAGCCAAAGACAGAAAATTACCTTCCTCTTAGTCAGTATTACAGTAAAACTACAAAGCTGCTTTGAGTTAACTGTTAAAAATGCATGTCATAAAGTTGTAATTATCTACACAAATAAACACTGAAGTTATTTAAAGCATGGTGATTTCATTTGATAGAGGTTTCTTTTATGAAGACATTCCAATGAACAGATCTTAAATATTAGCAAAAAGAATTAACAGAAATTGCTTCTTACATGTTTAGAACTGATTCCAGCTTCAACAAAGACTTATTCATGTCTTTTCCTAAGTTCCATGACAACCACTTTAAAACTGATTTTCCTATGTTTTATGCTTCAGTCTGCTAAACCCATATTAAATGGAAAAAAGATTTTTCGGTGACCTACTCACAGTTTGGTACATTCTCCAAAATATCAGGCCTTGATGTTAATGGCACTGAAATGAGAACAGATTTTCTTCCTTTCCTCAGAAAGTATCTCATGAGGTGGAAGAGAATCAAGAGAGAAAATTACAGGAGGCTATCAGCAGTACCCAACACAGGTTACATTCTGTAGTTCCAAAGGACAAGTTATTGTCCTCTGTCCTGGTCTAAATTACACAAGTGACTGATGTGACCTTTAGCTGATCCAAACTTTGGAGGTTCTGAAGCAGCATAATTCTGCCTAACAGGATATTTACATTTTCAGTGGAAAATCTACAGCCTAATGTTGTGAATGAATGTCAGAGGTGTTGAAATGTATTCAGATGATGTTACTTAGGCACCTGAACACATTTTAAAACATATGTTCAGAGTTATGTCTTTTTTGAGAGATATGAAGAATTACAGGGTTATTAGCTGCTCTGTGCACAGATGTTTTACGTTTAACAATTGATAATGCAGGCATGTTGTTGTACTTGCTGCTGTTTGCTAACCATGGCTTTCTATGCACGTCTTAGTCTTCTCCTGAGACATCCTTCCCTGCAACAACACAGAAGTTCCTTCAAGAGGAAGAGAAACCTACCAAAGAGTTTGAAGAATGTTTAAATTCACACCTTGAAGAACTGCAAGGACTTTCTGAAAACATGCTTAAAAAATACACTGGGCTTCAGCAAAGTAAGCATGCTTAAGCTAATCACACAACTAAGAAAATAAACCCGTGTTTAATCACTGAAGAGTTTCTTAATGTTGGAGATATCCACATAATTTTGTGAGGACAGCATCTCTGATAAAAGCAGAATTTATTCGCGATTGCAGTGCCGGGCGTCCCGCAAGCAGGAGCGCACCTATGGACACAGCATGACAGCCCTTACACCCTGCTTTCTCCCCTTGCCCCCCCCCTCCCCTGTTTCCCCACTGGCTGGGTACGCCAGGATCACAATCTTATCAGAAGGTTTACATCTGTTATTGACAGGGGGGTGGGGGGGTGATGCCAGGCCTTCTGATGGCTCTTCAGGCGCTTCCCCACACTTCCTCAGGCATGCCATGACTGTTCTCTGGTTTGATCTCATGCAGGACATTCTTGCAGTGTGTGTGACAAAATATGCATGCGTACACCTATGTACAGAGTGTGCATTCCTGGGGAAGGTTCATCTAAAGGATAAGTGATGTAAACTATCAGAGGTCTTCCCCAAGTTACGTAAGGACTCCCAAAAAGAAATATGATAGTGGAGATCATGCAATATCATTACCTGACTATATTATAAAACACTTCCCTAGACATATTGCAAAATATGCCGTTTTCTTTTGCATAGTTAAATCAAGAGCCTGTTGCAGCGCTGTACATTAAGTAAGACGTTTTCAATTCTGTGGTGTATGAGGGCTAGTAAGTGGAATTATTTCCTTGCAAATACAGTCAGCCAAGAGAAATTCTCTAAATTGCACAGAGCAGGAATTATAAGGGCTTTTAGCTGTGTCATAGCTCCTAGCATTAAGAGCTTATCTGTGCTCTGGTTATTCTTGGCTATACAAGTAACCCTTGGGACTCCTGAAATGAGAAGTTTGAGCTTTTGATTTTTTACACTGTAAAGCCATGCACACTGTTGAGGAGCACAAGCAGACAAAGCACAAAGCTACTTTGAAGCCACCTCTATTACCTCTTTTTGCAGACCTACAGATTTTACCTGGACAGGGTCTGATCACAGGTGCTTTCCGTGCTTTACATTAATACTTAAGATTTTTAAATCCCATCTTCAAAAGCACCTTCAAAAGCTTTTGATACTGTATTGGCTTGTCGTTTAACCACACTGGAATATAGAAGAGCCTTCTACTTCTGATGACTTGTGATGAATCTTAAGAAATGGCCTAAATTCCTTATATTTTTTCTGCAACATGGGAAAACATTATAAAACTGAATAGAGCTAATTCGACTCCATATGCTAGAAGACTGCACAATGTTGAGATTCCATGTATTTGCAATTCAAACTGGATTCTATTGCTGCGTAAGCGAAACAAATTACAGACAGTGTTGATGAACCACCAATTTCAGTGAAAGAGATACTGAAGAAGTGCTTTCCAGCATGTACTGCTGCCAACTGCCTGGAAAAATCTGGATAAAAATAATACCAGACTGTCAAACAGCTCCAGTGTGAGTAAAACAGTGCTATTGATATTCAAGACCACAGCAAAAATGTAAATTGTCTTTGCAAGAGATATTTCCTTTATGACAAAATTCACTACATCACACACAAAATACCAAGATTTTAAATACCAGTTTGCCATAAAATGAGTAATGAAGATGAGGGAATCAAAGATTCTTTACAGGAAAACTCAGAAAAATTGCTAGACTCAGCTGGAGGAATGAAGAGTGAATAAAAAGATAATGAAAGGACATTTGAACAGACTAAATATATATCTGTCCTCAATTAAAGGAGAGCTGCATCTGGATTTGTTAAAAGAACTGATGAGAAAATGTAGGAACCTCTATAAATGGAGTGAAATTTTAAGATGGGAAAGATTTGCAGAAGCAGAAAGTAAAATGTCTTTCAGAAGGGCAGAAGAAGACAAGGACTGTTAGCTGGTGAGCCAGATTGTTTTGCTGCTGCAAGGTTTAAACATGCACAGAGTCAGCATGCTCTGGATCTCCAGAGGAATGTGCCTGAGTCCAGTTAACTACCCAAGGATCCTGCTCACGATGCAAGTTTGTGTGATCATGTAGAATGAATGAAAGAAATTATCAAAAAATGAGTAAGATTTTCTTTGTGAAGCCTTTCACGATCTGGCCAAGCTCTTAAATTTGGCTAATGAAACATCAGAGTCAGTTTCAGCTTGGCTTTAGTGTAGTACCATACAATTAACCTCTACATGAAAAGCATTGAAAACTGCAAAGCACTCGTGCCTGAACAGCCGGCTTGTTTTCACCTGCACTTCCTGCACAGAGCATATTGCACTGAAAATGTGCTGCGTCGGTACAGATTAAAGTCCTGGCTCTTAACACCTCCTTAACTGAAAGATCACCTTTCTCTTCCGTGGCCAAAATCAACAGAAGCTGCTAATCTCTCAGCGCGCATTTGAACAAGGGCCCAATGCTGCTGCAATCAACTCAGAGCCACACCGCAGCTCTCCGAGTATGGCTGCAACAAGGCCTTTGAATCATTAACTGATGAGCAGTATTTCTGAACGAGGGAAGATGGTGTTGGTATTCATGCAGTCTTAGGAGTAAAATTCAATGCAGATGCACATTTTAAAATTTTAAATTGATGAAATACTTTGATTGTATTAAAATGTAGAAACTTGCTTGAGCTGGTGAGAGGTCTGTTCAGGATATCCCTGAGTCCATCATGACTGAGGCAGTTTATGCACTAGATGACATTTCACATTACTGGGAAAAAAATTTAAAGAATGATGGACAGCAGAAATAATAAAGTCTGAGAATTACATCCCTGCAAACAGGGATTGGAGATGCACACATACTGCTAAAGGAATAACTGGATGGTCCAAGGCTATAAATGTCTGAAAGTACCAATAAAAATGAAAAAGAAATGAATTATTAATTGTAAGTTCTGTTGCGAGAACAAGGTGAAACGCTATGGAGCTAAGGATTAGCCAGAACATACAGAAGATTGCTCCTCTACTTTATGAAGAGCTGGCAATGCAAAATTCTTATGAGCTGCTGGACTTCTTTTATGATTTTTCAAAGCTTCACCGAAAAACATTTTTGGCTCTCAGTTGAAAGACTAGTTTTAAATAAAAGAACAATAGTTCAGAATGCCACCAGCCTTTTTTGCTGAAGGAAGAGCAGAGGTCACATACACACAGTTGCCAACGTGTTTCATCAAGGTGCAATTTTGAAGTAGTTGGTGTTGGATGAGCTGCCAAGCCATTGCTGTCCAATTCACTTCCCAAAGTGTTCTCTGATGAAACAGTGGACTAGAAACATTTAATAGTAGCTCACATGAGAAGTGGTTATTCAACACATTTTCTTCTTACTTCATTTCTTACTCTCTTAAGTGTGGGAGATTTAGGAACAGAAGAATGGAATAGCAACACTGGGACTGTGGGTGCTGTGGGACTTGCATACTCACAGGACCACTACAGCCCTGCATGCAAACAGCAGCAAAGCACCACCTCACCAACACAAAAATGGACAAGCATGAGAAACCACAAGCACAGTTGTCTTGCTTTTCCAATGGGAAGACTTAAATGATAGCTTTAGCTTATCCCCTCCAGACTACAGAGTGCCTACATCTCCGTTCTCGTCATAGCATGACTGCCTGTCATTCCTGCTTTACCAGTGGTGTAACAGCACAGAATCAAGCCCAACAGCACTCAGTCATTCACAGCCAGGCTAAACAAAACCAGGGGCAAGGAGAAAGAAGTCATAACCATAGGCTGCCTAATGCAGGGAGCCCCAGGTGGTATTGCTTCCATGGTCTGTCATGGCAGCCGTCAGGTTTGTTCTGCAGTCCACCCAGCTGTGTGCCAGGCTCCACCCAGGAGCCGGTCCTGCTGCTTTCTGCCTCTGGATCTAACAAAGGTCAGGCAGCAGGGTGAGTGCTGTGTGAAGGACCTCAGCTGTACCATACAGATCAAGGGATTTACATTCCCACACAGCTTTGCAACAATCAGTTACATCATTGACATCACTTTCTTTTCACTTAAGTCTATGCAAAATAGCTACTCACTACATTTCCCATCAGCTGTCTTGTTCAAGCAAAATTCCTTCTTCCCCAGCAGAGCAGTCTGCTTGGAAAAACCTAAGGTAAAGATGGCTCACAGCAGAGCTCGTTTGAATTGCTCAATGCGGGAGTGTTCTTCTTTCCTTGCTGCGGGGTTCAGATCTCAGAGTTTCTTATTCATCATGTCTGAGAGACTTTCTAATCACACAGACACCTTCTATAAGTCTATAAGCACGCTGCAACTTAATGTAGCACACTGAAATTCCATCAGTTTTTGATGACTGAGCAACACCCCTGGATGCTGACAGACTGCACTCAACTCGCACCCCAAACCAACAATCCCATTGCTGTGCTCTGCTCAGCCACAGTGCTAGGAGCCTTCAATCAGATTTATCAGGAATGTGTTTGCCCATTTATCCTGTGAGAACCAGTCTGTGTGCAAAGAAAGTCCAATCTGCCACTGAATTGCCTGCTACAGATGTAGAACTTACAGGCTTGGCTTGAATCCATCTACGATCCCAGACAGAACAACAACTCCAACAGAAGTCCTGGGTTCTCAGTTTCCCACCTAAGTACCACAGCAAGAATTTTGTAGCTGAAGCTTTTCCACTATGTACAAATAACAGTGGCTCACAGAAGACAGGATCAGCCAAAGACCTGCACCTATGGGTATGATGAGGACACGGTGTGGGAACAGGGGGGTTTCCCTCTGCTGGTGCAGGGTGTTGGACTGAGACCACGTGCCCAATATTCTCCTGGTAAGAAATGTTCTGTGATGCAAGTCCAAACTCAGAATGGAAGAGCAGGCTCCAGTTGACAGCTGCTGGAGCTAAGGGTGCATTCAGAACCTGTGCACATGCTGTCTGGATACCCAATGAAAACATTCTGAAAGAAGCAGTCCACGTATTTCCCGTATGTATTTCAAAGTGCCATTTTCTGACCATTACTATTTGAAAAACATTCTCTTGAAGTTTGATGGAAACAGAAGACTGCTCAGATTGATCCCTTCTTCTTCTTTCAGAGCATGGACCTCTGGCACTCGCTTTGGGGACCTCGGGGCCATTTATAACACAGATGGCTGTCTGCCTGTTGTGAGGATACTTGACACAAGTCTTTTGCTTAGCACTTTGAAGACATAAATC